ACCTCTTCCCCTCATTGATCATGCAAGCAGCTTAGATAGAGATGTTGATACAGAAATTATGTGATGTCAAACAATGTCTTTCTGGGAAACATCCTTGTTTTGTTTCTGATGACTTAGTGAAACGAGGCACTGTTACATAATGTTAGCTTACATGGGAAGTAACTAATGATAACTCTGTATGGCTCTAGAGAAACCTGATGCCAAGTCTTGCAATAATACATGTTAATAAAGTAAGAATTTTTGGTGTAATATGGCCTTCTAGCTTTCCGCAGTAAAGTTAGAACTGAATGGAGACATTTCCCCTAATAACCCTTACACTGCACTCAGATAATTTAACATATTTAATACTCACAGAGGTATAGAAGCACCTGCTGGGGAGGAGGGTGTCCTTACCTCTGTAGAAAGTTGTAATTTGTGTTGTTTTTTAACAAACAGTAAATAGAACAACAACAACAACAATAATAATAATGAATTGTCATAGTGCCTACAAGTTCTTAGGCATCAATGAAGGCTGTATTAGGTGCTGAGCAAAGCTAAGATATTCCCTGCCAATATATGACATTTCTATAGCATTTTTTTCATATAAACTGTACCTACATAGAGAGCAACCCAGGCTCCTTTTCAGCAGAAGTGCAGTCACCTTGGGGAAGGAACACAATCTCCTGGATTGTGCTTTCGACTGTTTTCATCTTTGTCTCATATAAGCCTGGCCTTTTTCTGAGCTATGGCTTTTTGTGGATTTCTCTCTAAATCTGAGAACACGAAACTCATAAGGAACTATGTACTGGTGCTTTATCTTACAAACAAAGGAATACTGACATAATAATTTATCTCCATTGTAAACTGTTAATTAGATCTTTTCCTAAAGATTCATTTCTTTTATTAGTTTTGCAGTTGTAGTGAAAGCTACTATTGGCATTGTAAAGCTGGGGTCACAGGGACTGCGGGACTAGCAGACATAGTACTAAGACAAAACAATGCCACCAGGACAAAGTCTGCACTATGGCGACCATGGGACACAGCAGTCAAAATCCGGGAAGAGGGCTGGTTGTGAACATCAAGACCCCAGTTCTGGTGCCTGGGTATCTCTGTTCACTGTAGTCAGATTTTTAAAAATTAGCTTAGTTGTGAGATATAGCCTTATGGTAATTCATTATAAATTTACAGAATGTATCACAGCCAGTTAGCTTTTCTACACCAGACTTTTAAGTTGTTAAAAGTAATAGAGGCCAACTCAGACAGTTACATCTCTCTGTAAAAGCCAACAAAAGCCAAAGGCAAGGACTGGCACAAGCCAGACAGCTACAGCTAAATCATTTGTGATGAGGCGCCCTGAGGCCGCCGCAGCGTTTCCTGGCTGTGTGGTCTGCCAGGTCACTGAGCTGCAAGGGGAGTGTGAAACACACAACTTACCGAGCAGTGTGATTTTTTTTTTAATATTACTGCTATTCTTTCTGGATAATGGAGTGAGGACTGAGAAAGACAGCCTAGCAAGATCACACCACATGGCTCCAGGCCAATGCTGGGACCTACTACATGGCACAGATCAGTCTTCCAGAAGACATCCTGACCTGACCCAAATGGCAAGATGGACCGTTCACTGGCTGTGACTGACAGTGACATTTTCCTTCATTGCCTCCCTTGTTCCTCATCTCACCTGCTTTCTTTTTAACTTGCAGCCTCTTAAGTGGCTGCAAGGGAAGGAAATGGCCCTTTTTGTGCACCTCCTGAAGCATCGGAGCAGCACATTAGCCACTGCTCTGGCAGACCCATCACAGTGCTGGGTGCTTGGCAAGCGGTCTCCTTTCCCTCACATCCCCTCTGTTGGGTTAACATCCCTCCCTTTCATGCCAGGCCACCAGGCCACCCTGGGGTCTCCCTCCCAGGGACAGTCTCCTGGAAGTGGCCCTTTCCCATCCCTGCAGGGTAGGGCTGCCTAGACCTGCTGTGACCGCCAGTCCGCAGGGAGGGACACCTGCCACCCTCTGCGCATGCCCCCACCAGGGGTGCCCCAGGCGGGAGTGGGAGCCCCGCGAGGTGGCTGGCCTGGGGTGGCTGTCCTCCCCCTCTCAAGCCAAGCGGCAGAGCTCCTTCCCTAAGGAGCGCATCGCCCTCCCGGGCAGCAGTGAGAGGGCTGCATCAGCAGCGGGGAGGTCTGGCCCCCCTGCGCTCTCTCTTCATTTCTTTTCCTCTTCAGGTAGGTTAGGACAGGGAAAAATAAAATACTAATAAAAGTTCTGGAGATTCAGAATAACAGAATCATAGTTTTACAAGTTATCTTAGGAGAGACTGCATCATCAACAATGATTTTCTTCAAGCATCTCCATATCTTGTAATTCATGTCCCCCACCTTCGCACCAACAGACACTGCTACCTCACCATGAACGCTGTGAGCAGCAATGCACCTGTGCTGCAGTGCACATTCAACTTGGGAAACTTCTTGTGTTTAATAATGTGAAATCAACCTCCCCCAGCCACTTAACCTTCTCTCCCCTAAATGCATCCTGGAGGAAATAAAGAAAAATCGGTTTAGAGGAATCACGATGTCACCTGAAGTATGCATGTGCCAATCTGTTTCTAATGAGAAAATAAAATATTTTTTGCATTTCCCTTCTCTTTTGTTTTACTTAGAGAGAACAACACTCAGAATAAATATAAGCATTTGACTATCCCAAATACTTTAAAAACATCAGTAAATTGAAGAAATTTACTGAATTTATTACTGAAGCAATAAGAAAAGGCAGCTTTGCAGTAAATAGAAATAACAATATTGTCCCAAAATATTGTCCCAAAATCCTGTCCTAAATAGGAATTTTCCTATTCTATTGTCATCTTCTTTTTCACTTTTTGCAGATTCTCTTTTGGATCTGGTCAATATAATCATTAAATAAAATTCAAAAGCATTTCTCAAGTCTTTTAAATTTTCCTTGAAAATCTAATATTTTATTTACTAAACAACATTACATTATTTACACATGATACATCTTATTCTGCATGTAAGTCTTATAGAGTATTAGCCAGCACTCTTAACATTTTGAGCTAAATTCTGATTTACCTGGTTTGAGTCTTAAGAAACGTCACTGAATTGAAATACAATTGTAAATAAACCAATACTGGGTCATTCAGTTTCTTTATTTATGAGGCAGGCATTCTTTCATTTGTATGATGTTTGGCTAATGAGATGTACTGATAAGTGATGCAAACTGCACACTTTGAAAAATGATTTCTAACCATAGCATGAATTTCTGTGTGTAAGGAAAATTATATAACAAGGGATGATAACTGAGTGCATTTGCTGCCTGGAAATTTGATCTGCTGATGTCTGATCTTTATAGAAAATCAAACACAAAAATTCCAAATGTTTGCATACATACACTTTTTAAAAGTAAGTGCTTCTTCTTACCTTTCTTAGCTTCCACATCAGTTTTCCATAGGATACCAAAATCACCGATAAAGGCACTATAAAACAGGTGATGAAAAATGCAATAATGTATGTATGGTCGATATAAGCTTCTGAGTACCTGTATAAAACACAAAATACATTGTGTATGTATTACTAATATGTGTTCTTATCATTTTCTTGAAGTATTGACTTTGCTCTTCAAAGCTGTCACTAGTATTTTTGCCAACCGTTTTTATTCCAAGTGCCCCTTTACAACTTCAGTCGTATCACCAGATGGAGCCCTGGGCCATCTCGCTGGCCGTGGGCTCGGACAGGATCCCATGACCAAAGGACCTAGGCACAGTGGGACAGTTCAGGTGGGAAGGGACATGTAGTCCAACCTCCTGCTCAAAGTGGAGTCAGCTACGGGGTCAGACCAGGATGCTCAGGGCTTTGTCCAGTGTTCTGAAAAATCTGTCTCTTTGTCCTCTTTGAATCCTGACAAAAAGCACAAGGTATAGGACAGTTATTTTCATTAGGGCTGGAAGCTCCTCCCTTTAGAATTTTTTTTTTTAAATCTGTTCTTGGCAAATTTTGCTCATTTTTCTTACAACTTTCTTTACATCCATTTTTGCAGAGATGTACATCATCTTTAAACCTTTCCTTTAAATTCCTGCTCCTGAGATGTCCTGAGCTGCAAGTTTCATTTCTTTACCGTAGTCTGCAAGAGTGGCCTTACCAGTTAGGCTCACAAGTAGTTCCAATATTACTGGTGGTGTAACTGCTCCAACCCATTGTTGGTGGAATGGTCCAAATGAAGGAAAAGGTCCACACAAAGGCAATACCTAGGGCTGCATGCTTCCCCCTCAAGCGCATATTTCCCAATGGGTGACAGATCACAATGTACCGCTCAAAAGCCAACAGAGCAAGAGACCAGAGAGCAACAATGCCTGTAGTAAGAAAACACAGTCAGCATCAAAAATTGGGTAGATTCACTGAAAAGCAAACACCATCCCACATCAGACAATCACAGAATTGTTTAGGTTGAAAGGCATCTCTGGAGGTCATCTGGTTCAACACCCCCACACACACTCAAGCACGGTCCATACAACAGGTTGTCCAGGACCAAGTCCAGTTGAATGTCTCCACAGATGGAGACTCCACAACCACTCTGGGTAACCTGTTCCAGTCTTTGACCACCCACCACATCAGGCACCTTTTCCATCAACCCAAGTTGTGAAAGGATGTGCAATTTATGTGCATTATTCTAGTATTTATTAAGAGCACAAGATTTTCATATTTGTCTAGTTTGTCAGTCTACAGTATAATGACTACAAAACCAAGCAGCTGATTGGGCCATTTAACTGACGATGACTTCTTTTTTTCATTTGGTTCTACTCTGAAAAGCTGCAAATTATGTGTAGCTTCCAAATTAACAAATGAAGATGTACCTTCAAAACGTTATCTTCGCAAGAAATGTCATATTTCAGACTGTCATAAAACTCTAACCTACAGACAGCTGCCCACAACATCAAATTATCAGTTTATTAGGCACATATCACCTGGTTGGCCACCAAAATCTTGAAATAGCCTGATCTTTCTCCATAGGACATGGCTTACATGCCACAAACTGATTTAGTAGCATTGTCCCTCACCGACATTCCGTCTGTGTAGCTTAACCAGGCTGAAAGCAACTGCGGGACTCCTTTTCAGGCTGAGGATCAGCAATGTGTTTGATTTAGAGCAGTGACAAGAGTTAGAAGGCTGTCTTTACTATGCAGCTTCAGAAACAGGAACAGGGAGGCAGGAATGAATGTCTATCTCAAGCAAGCAGATGTCCCATTTTAAACTAATTTCCCATTTATTCTGCAGAGGTGTATTTACACAGGGAATTATGTGGTGAGGATTTTCCCTTTTAGACTAATTCTAATATTTTTTGTGTAGTTAGTAAAACAAAGCCAAGAAGAAGAATGACAAAAAGATGTAGGTGTGAGGGGTGACTGTTTCAGGTGTGTCACAGTTCCTCAGAACCGCTGGAGCGTAGCTAACATAAGATGTTTCTATGCCCTGATATTTTCCAGTTTAAGAGCAGCCAGTCACCCTTTTTCTCTCTCTCTTATTTATCCATATACGCACAAACCTAAATACAAACCTTGAAAATAGTTACACATAGTGATTTTTTTCCTGACATTGTTTTACCAAAAACCCCACAACGTTGCTATTCTATTAGCAAGCTTTTTCTCATTATAGTAAACATACTCAATGATCAGCACACATGTGACAAGCCACTGATATATGACAGAGACAGTGATACATGTTATTCACCCACACATGAGATCCACTACAGAATATATGTAACCGGGGAAAGGACCAGTGAGTTGAAAGGCATGCAAAGTCAGTGACGGGAAGCTGCAGGATAGCTAGTAGAATACACTGAAGGAAGTTGAAGGAAAAGAACATACAACTACAAACAAAATCAAGCTTACCAAAAAATGTGACAGCAAATCCTTCCAGTACACAAGCCCAGTATCCCATATAAAAATAACCTTTTAGATTGGTTAAAAAGCTGATGGTGCCACCAATCAGTGAGACCAGGAAATCAGCCACAGACAAATTGACTATAACATAATTGACAGGTTGTCTCAATTGCTTGAACTTAAAAGTTACCAGGATTACAGCCAGGTTCTCGGCAAGCGACAGGGAGGTCACCACCAACATTACTGCTGCCAGAAGCCTGAAGTGCCAGGGCTGGATGGAGTCCAAGGGACGACGGAAGGGATCCCATCTGGCAGGACCAGAGGAACTGGACAACAGCGACTCATTTTCAGGTGCTCTGAATGCATCCATTTTTTCTCTCTCACTAGCAAAAATAATACTGTATAATACCAGAATTTCTAATCTGTAAATAATATTCAGGATTAAAAGGAGAAATTTGCTGTCTCCAACAGATGTGTGAACAAATTCTCCATGCTTCTGCTTTCCAGTAATAGTCCAGGAAACAAAGTTTTGGTCAGAGGAAAGTTTAGTGCTGTGCAGTGAATGTGGGAACAGGGATGAGCAAGAAAATCCCTTAGAGCAACTTCTGCCCCTCTCTGTCAGTAGTCTCCTGCCTCTCTCCTACTGCAGCTGTGTCTTTATCTGCAATAAAACCCAGCTATAGAAGCTGCAGGTTCCCTCCTTCTGCAGCAGCCAACAGCAGTGCTGAAATATCTCTCAGATCATCCTTACTCTGTGGGGAAAAATGAAACGTTTGCTTGGATCCCTCCCTGACCTTTAGCAGTGTCAAAATGAAGCTTTCCTTTTGTTAATAGTGAGGGTGGCGCGGTCTTCCTCATGCCCTGCGCTGCTGGGAGCACAGCAAGGGGGAGGCTCCCACCTGACTTGTTTGTTTGAAAGAGGGCAGCCCTGAAAAGATTAACACTGGACTACCACAGCAGCTGTAAACTGGGCAGTGAGACTACCCTATAAACCCCTGCCCACATCTCAGGCTAGCTTACAGCCTCAGAACTGAAGCTCCAAATTAACTAAGTTTTCTATGTTATTCAGTGGAATTTCAGTTTCCATCCGAGACAGTATAGATGTTATCCCTGATGAAGGCATAATGATTATAACTGCAGCTTTAGTACTAAAAACTCAAAGAAGCACAAAAATATTTTAAAGATAGAGTTTGTAAATACATGAAAAGAAATAAAATCAGTACAGCATGACAACAGACAGCAGGAAAATTAATAGCTAGTCATATATTTCTGATAAAAATAACTGGATGTATCTGAACTCTTTTAATAATCATCAGCAGTTAGGGTTACTTGTGTTCGTTTCCCAAGATGAGTAGTTCAGTCATCTCTGCTCCCTAATGAGACACAATACTGTGACAGATATTCCAGTATTCCCGTTCTAAAGGGTTGCCAGTAATTATTCCACAAATTACGCTGGATACCCCAAGAATATGGAAATCATTAAGCTGTGTTGTAAGTGGGATAATTCTTGGGGACCATAATTGTTAATCAGAGCCTCAGAGTATTAACCAGAGTAAAAAATACAAAAGCAATCCAGTTCCCGTCTTGGAAAGTTCACACTTTGGACACACACCATATACAACACATGAATAAACAAACAGGAGCTGGAGTGAGAGTGAATGTGAGTAACACTACCTGTCCGTACATTCCCTTGAGTTTATATTTGCTTTGGTTTGTACATGAAACACTTTGTTAACACAGGCTAAAATCTTTCGGTATGCAGGAATGGAATCAAAAGGGTCTTTGGACACTGGCAGAAAGAGCTACGCATCAGAAAATTTCAGAATATTTTGAACTAAAAAAACCAAAACCCTCCTACTTACTATAACCAAAATAACAAAGATATTTGTAAATATTTAGTACATACTCAAGTGAAAAGGAAAGAGACAATGCTTAAGTAGATCACATCCAGTAACAAAAATACTGACAAAAAAATACTTATTCAACAGGAATATTAAAAAATTCCAAGTGTCATAAATAAAAGAAGGATCAACACACAGCAACATCAAAGTGCCTCCAGCCGGTCCTTGTATGGTATGATTTAGCATAGTTCCACTGCCTGCATACTACAGCAGAAGTTCTGGACCACAACTTTAAAATCAAGTTTGAATATTACATTGTTTGAAATTATACATGATTTTAAATTCTTGTGGGTGTCAGAATGAAACTAGAACTCTGAATTTAGCATACAATGGAGAAGGTAGTTTCTGGACTTCTCTAAGGTACAAATCTATTGACTGTACAGTGACACCCCTTTAAAGAATGGAAAACTTTTTTCCAGTTATTTTGGTTTTATGCTGTCATATCGTTCAAGTTGTTTGTATGAGTTATGATTTTGGCTACAGTCATTCTCTTTTCTTATCTTGTGCTTCCTCTTTGTTTAGAATCCTTTAAAAATATTCCTATACTGTCTTGGTTGCCCGTTTTGCTTGTTTTTCTTCTTCAGCAGGTCAACTTTATCTCTGAAAGTGATTCTCTGTGACATGCTCTCTTATTACAACTTACGGCAGTTGCACTTCTTCCAGCATCACGGGTTTGCATTTGCTACTTTGCTCTACATTTGCTACCCCTCTTGCACTGCAGGCCTTTTTTTTTTGTTGTCCAAATAATACAGACATGGATTATTTTTTTTGTGCAATTTTGTTGTGAGACTTTTTTCTGAAATCAATATCAGATAAATTTAAAAAGACGAAGCATTGCTGTATGAGCACAGGGAGAACAGGAGCATCTCAGGTCTGTAGCCTCCATTTAAAAAGACAGCTGTTCTCCAGCATTACATCACAAGATGTAGCTCCTTTATTAAGGTCTTGTTTTCCATTAGTGCCAAATTCCTTTTCCTGGATTTCCATATACTGAAAGTTTGTTGATAAACTTGGAGAACAGGCAAACCGAGGAGTCCCTGTTCGTCATATCTCACACATCTGACTTACTGCTGTCTTCATTTTCTTGGCCAGAATTGAGCATGACTTGCCTCCTTAGCAAAGGTGTTCCTGACTAACAGGAACCTCATATGAAGAGGTAAGTTGGTAGACAATAAACAGCCTCAGGCTATGGTTAAACTGCTGCTGGTTGGAGCAGGGAACATACGGTCAGTGAGGTGAAGAGGATGTGTAACTAACAGCACTTGTGTAATATGCCTACGGTAATTCCAGCTGTAAGACAAAATCAGGATGACAAGAACTGTGCTAACTGAGATCAGATCTGGTGCCTGAAATTTTATGTGGCGGTTAGTGAATTAGCCCCGAATTTACCATTCCCACAGGACACAAACAGGGAAATGAGCTATAAAGTGAGCGTGATATTTCAAGTGGTGCACTTGAATTGGTTCTCTCAGCTTTTGAGCATGTGATAGTCAGTCCCAAGATGCTGCCATCTAATGACAGCAGTGGCCTTCACTCCTCAGAAAGATTTGCTTTGTCCCCAAGAAGGATTTGGTTTAGTCACATTTAATTGGAGCAAACAGCATTTTCTGCTGTACAGATATTTTGTGGGAATCTGAAGTGAAGGATCCCACTTTTGGTACGACCAAACTGGCTGCTGTGTCAGATATGTGTGCCCAACTCAGTGACTGACCTGGCCACCCCATAAGTTAACTTCTATTTTGGAAAAAAAAAAATCATCCAACTAGGGATTGAGGCACTCATCATTTTTGTGATCAAATGGTGCTGACCCAATGCACCCACACAGATTGCTTCCGTCACACATGAATACTTCATCCCTTCAGGGCATCTAGCCTCTGGGCCAATAACTAGGCTGAAGCTGGTATTTATCCTTTGCCAGATACTGCTACGGATTGTGTTAATCCACTCTGAAGTTAGGAGGTCTGGCCCGAGTCCTCCTGTAGAGAAGTTGTGGTTGCACGTGCCTGTGCAAACTTGGAGGTGGCAGCACAAGAGAGCTGCCCTCAGGTCCCGGCAATGGGATACCCCGGCTGCTCTCCCAGAGAAACCTCCTCTGCAAGGCGCACAAGGGACCACTGGCTGCACTGGTTTTGGGTGGTTGCTACAGAAGAATAAAAAAGTAAAAGCTGGTGAAAGCTAGCGGGGAAGAACCAGATGCACCACGGGCAGGTGCAGAGTATGTGGCCTTCAGAGAAGCTGGCCAGCGAGTGCTCCTTGGGCTGGGTGGGTAGGGAGAGGCTTCAGGCACAGAGAAGGGGGAAAGGGACAAAAAGAAGCTTGAGGGGAAATCATCAATTTCAAAGCAAAGTAAAATTTCAAACACGTCAGGTAGAAATCAGTCTTACCAATTCCGAGTTGTGTTTCTTTTTTCTAAGTAAGATATTAAAAAAACCCAGCAGCAAGTGAGGCTATGACTGACTTTGGAATTAAGTGTGTTTATATTTATCTTTCAAGGTCCTATATTTGATAATGCCATTCCAATCGCATATCTCTAAAAGGCATATAAGATTGTACTTCACTACAGTATTTTTAAAAACACATACAGTAAGGCCACATTTTGTTCTGCCTTCAGTAAGGGAGAAGCTGAAAAGAATGCACGAGCATTTAGTTTAAATTAGAAATTAAGCAGAAATTATGGTTATTTATGCATAGAGACTATTACAGATTACCTTACAAATCTAGAAATTATAACTCTCAGATCACATAAGCAAATATGCTTTTGCTGAGTCCAATTAATCACAGAAACACAAAAGGGCTGAGGCTGGCAGGGACCTTTGGAGAGCTCCAGTCCAGCCCCTTGCTCAAAGCAGGGGCAGCCACAGCAGGGTGTCCAGGATTGTTTCTAGTCAGGTTTTGAATGTCTCCAGGGAAGGAGACTCCACAACCTCCCAGGGCAACCTGTTCCTGTGCTTGACAACCCTTACTGTAAAGATTTTTCTTATTTTAATTTTTTTTTATCTAAAAATAAAAAATAGCTACTGTTTCACATTAATTATAAGAGTTATAAACCCAGTTTATTATGGGGCTACATTTAACCTTTTTATGCCTGGGGAGGTTCAAGGAAAGCACTTGCAAAACCTAATGGCAGACTTTGCTTGAGAACCCTGTTACAGGACTGCAGTGATTAATCTCATTTACCTACTTTCAATATAGACCCATAGTCTTTTAGAACCCGTTGAAACTTGAGTGTAGGAAATAGGTTTTCTATTCAATGAAACTTCTGGAAATTTAGACAAAGATTGTCCTCCTGCTGCCTGACTGAACCAAAACCATTCGGAGCGTAACATCAGAAGTGGGAGCAGAGGAGTGAGTTGTTACTCCTGTGCAGTACCATATTATAAAGATATTGTAAAGTACCTTCATATAACCTATTCAGAAGCTTCTATGGGAGGATACTTCATCTAAAAAACAGCCTGAACATCCAAGAGCC